ACACATATTGACATGCACAGAAGTCATACTTTATAGATTTGATTGTGTGTTTGATTTCCAGGATATTGCGTATGATCTGCAGGTGTCAGGGAGCCGCATTCAACATGTGAGAGTCTCCCGGAACTACCGGGAGACTTGGGGTGTCTGGTATTAGGCAGTATGTGTGTATGGATGTATGAATTAGGCAGTATGCGTGTATGGATTAGGCAATATATGTATTGTGCAATTTGTGTGTGCAGATGGATGTATTAGGCAGTATGTGTGTATGGATGTAAGTATTAATCAGTGTGCAAGGCCCTGGGGAGTCAGCACAGCTAAACGGACAAGGGCACATGTATGAGTGTGGGGATGGTGCTAGTGATTGGCTATATGTTTTAGGGGAGTGGTTATGGGTTTGTAGTGAGGCAGGGATCATCTTACCTCAGTGCCTTTTGGGATTCTGGCCAGCAAACAACTTCCCACCCACTCACCCTAATTTTCTGTTTTTGTTCCGTCACAGCTAGCGGGGAAATAAAACCCAAAAAACAATGTTTAGTTATGGGCCCCTGGGGTGGAGCATTTGGAGAGCAGGGTGGGCCAATGCTCCACTCCGCTGTTTGTTTTTTTGGGAGACATAAGTCCAGACGAGGTATTCGGGTTGCCTCCAACCGGGTTGGGGAGCAGATGGAATGTCAGAAGATGGACATGGTGGATCTCAACCTCCCCTGCTCTGTAAGGTAAACTTTTAAGTTACCGAATAGGACGTGCCCACCGAGCAAAAAGCCGGCTGGTGGTAGAGCATTTAGGATGTTGGGAATTTTTGGTTTGGACGAGGGGGAAGGCGAGACACCAGTGGGTAAAGGTTTGGTGCATAGGCACCTGATTAAGTTTGTTGGCAAGGACGGTTATTTAAGTTGGAGGCTGTAGGGCAATAAGTGTAATTTATATATTAATTCTGGTATGTATATATATTTATGTGTTTATATTTGAATTAAAGAAAAGAATAAAGTTCGGATGAGTTCTACAGTTCTAAGTTTAATAAATGGCGTGGCCTGTTTAATCCAATATTCATTGTTTGTCATTATTGGTGGGAGAATAGGAGAAGTCTCCTTACTCTTAGTCGCACCACATTCCCCGCTACGTACATACATGTATTAGGCAGTGTGCGTTTATGGGTCTATGTATTAGGCAATATGTGTGTATGTATTGGGCAATATGTGTGTATAGATGTATGCATCAGGCAGTATGTGTGTATGGATGTATGTATTAGGCAGTGTGCGTGTATTAGTGTGTATGTATTAGGCAATATGTGTGCAGGAGCAGAGCAAGCAGAGAGGTGCAGAACAAATAGAAAGGAGCAGAACAAGCAGAGAAGAAGAGGCAGTGCAGAGCAAGTAGAGAAAAGCAGAGCAAGTCGAGAGAAGGGGAGCAGAGCAAGTAGAGGGGAGCATAACAAGCAGACAGGACAAGAGCAGAGAGGAACAGAGAGAAGCAGAGCAAGTAGAGAAAAGCAGAGCAAGTCGAGAGTAGCGGAGCAGAGCAAGAAAAGGGAAGCAGAGCAAGCCGAGAGTAGCAGAGCAGAGCAAAAGCAGACCATGCAAATAGAAGCACAGCATGCAGAGAGGAGGTAGAGCAGAGCAAGCAGAGAGGAGCAGAGCAAGTCGAAAGTAGCGGAGCAGAGCAAGCAGAGAGAAGCGGAGTAGAGCAAGCAGAGAGGAGCAAAAGCAGAGCATGCAAATAGAAGCATAGCATGCAGAAAGGAGCAGAGCAAGTATAGAGGAGCAAGAGCAAAGAAGGCAGAACAGAGCAAGCAGAGAGTAGCAGGTATTATGGCCCGCGGCCTGTGCCACATCTAGGTTCTGAGAAAAGTGAATTAATTGAAGTGATTACAGCGAGTGGTGTGAGTGTGACAAAGGTTACTTACTCCTGATTGCAGACAGTGAGTGGTATGACACTGACACTTACTCCTGAGATTGAAGACAGTGTTGTGACAGTGTCATCTTACTTACCAGAGATTGCAGACAGTTTGCAGTGCGGCCCCACATAACGTGTGAAACCTTACATACCTGAGCGTGCAATTTGCAAAGGGACTGAGTGAGCAGAGCAGACACTCCAGACAGTGGCACCCCTACTGTAAGTAACGTGAACTTTAATTGCAGCTTTTGAGTAAATTATATGTATGTACCCAGGATTACATATTGTGAGCATGAGAATGAAACAAGTAATTTTAGTTTGTGTTGGTATAGTATTCACTAACCATAGGTCAGGGCACAAACTTTAGTGCTAACCATTTATAGTTGTTCATGGAAGTAGAGCTAAATCTGCTCTTTGAGTTAGCATTTCAAAATACAATTTGTGTCACTTTAAAATGCTTAAACTGTAGTGTAGAGAATACACTGTTAAGTGACCATTTTCTATGTATGTGAAATATTTATATAGAAGTATTAATTTAATTTCCCTTAAAATTGCATGTTGTAAATTATTTTAAAAATAAATATTTAAAAACAAAAAACTAGTTTTGTAACAATTCTGGCATCATGAGATATTGTTACAATTGCATATCTAATGCAGACTTTAGCATATTTAACAAGGTGCTGGAAATCTGAATTGGAAATCTGAATTTTGTTAAAGGACCACTATAAGCACCCAGACCACTTCAGCTTAATGAAGTGGTCTGGGTGCCAGGTCCAGCTAGGGTTAACCCTTTTTTTCTATAAACATAGCAGTTTCAGAGAAATTGCTATGTTTACACTGAGGGTTAATCCAGCCTCTAGTGGCTGTCTCATTGACAGCCGCTAGAGGGCTTCCGCGCTTCTTACTTTGATTTTCACAGTGAGAAGACGCCAGCATCCATAGGAAAGCATTGTGAATGCTTTCCTATGGCCTGGCTGAATGCGCGCGCGGCTCCTGCTGCGCATACACATTCAGCCGAAGAGGAGGCTGAGAGGAGGAGGAGAGCTCCCCGCCCGGCGCTGGAGAAAGAGGTAAGTTTAACCCCTTCCTCTACCCAGAGCCCGGCGGGAGGGGGACCCTGAGGGTGGAGGCACCGTCAGGGCACTATAGTGCCAGGAAAACGAATATGTTTTCCTGGCACTATAGTGGTCCTTTAACTTTTAAATGTTCTTTGTGTGTGTGTGTGTGTGTGTGTGTGTATATATATTGTAACAGAGTGTTGGGGATGGTGGTCAGGGGTGTATATCTGGCACCCAGACTTTTGCACAGCCACTATCCTGACATGGGTAAGCACATGCAGCCCCAGGGAAAGTTAAGTTTAAATGTAGGTTTTTTCCTCTGTTGTTATTTGGGTCCCTGGGGTGGAGTATTCGGAAGAGCAGGGTGGGCCGATTCTCCACCCACTGTCAGAGTGGTTGTGCATGAGTCCAGCCCAGGTTTTCCATAGAGTTCTGGCTCACTGCCTAACGAGGTCATTAGCCTCACCTGTAGGGGCTGTGAGCAGCTATATAACTGCAGTTAAAGCAGGGTGAAGTGAGGGAAGTGTTTTGGAGGAGAAAGAAGATTTGCTGTTCGTTGTATCCTGTTACTTCACAACAACAGAAAATAAACAGGCCAGAGGCCTTTTTGAAACTGGACTTTGTCTTGACCTGGTTTTCTTACCCTAGAGGGCTGTGTGGACAAACACACACAGGAAAGTAAGTTTGTCTATATATATATATATATATATATATATATATATATATATATATTACACACACACATACACATACACACATGTTTTGTAATTGCCCCCCTACTTCTGTGGTTCCCCATGTGCCCCCCCTAAATATGAATGCTGGAGACGCCACTGAAGGACGGTGCCTCTTTGAGCATGTTAAAGAGCTCCCGAAAATAGGGACAGCATGGCTGAATGCCCTGGAACCTGAGTTTGTCTTTATTCTTGGCACTGACAGGAGGGATTTGCTGACTGTCCGAAGTGAACAAGATGGAATGTAGGGTGTCAGAGCTCTTTCAGATACTGTGACCCTTGATTGTTTAAAGCTTTGAAGGTCAGCAGGCCAATTTAAAAATCTGTTCGCCATTTAATTGGAAGCCAATGCAGGGGGCGGAGAACAGATGTTGTGGCAGGAGTGAGTTTGATTGGTCAGGAGTCTGGCTGCTGCATTTTGTACTATCTGTAGGCAATGGAGTTATTTTTATAGGAGGACCAAGTAAAGTACATTGCAGTACCCTAGCTAAGAGAATTTGAATGCATGGATTAATGTTGGCATATCATCTGGTGAAATTAAGTGTTGTATCATGGCTATGTTTTTAAGGTGAAAGTAGGCAGATTTTATTATGGAGGAAACCTGCTCTTTAAAGGATAGTCCAGAGTCAATCAGCAATCCGAGGTTTTGTACCTCTAATGAGTTCAGAGCCTCCAAGCATACAATCAGCTTACACTCCTGGATCAGAATTTCGTATCCAGCATCAGATGTGCCTCTAGCGGCTGTCAGAAAGACAGCCACTAGAGGTTGGATTAACCCTGCTAAGTAAACATAGCAGTTTCTGTGAAACTGCTATGTTTACATCTGAAGGGTTAAAACCTGAGGGGCCTGGCACCCAGACCACTTCATTGAGCTGAAGTGGTCTGGGTGACTATAATGTCCCTTAAATATAACTCTCTCATAGAATACGGCATTCCTTTGGATGTGTATATTGTGAAGATCTGTGTATCAATGCATGTTTGTATTTGAGTCCGTGTGAATGGAATTGTGCATGTTTGGATGACTACATGTGCTTTTATTTTTTTTTATTTTTTGTGTATATAGGGTCAGTGTGAATGCATATGTGAGAGGGTGACCGGTGTAAGAGTGTGGGAGGTGGTGGCAGAGTGAGGGAGGGGGTGAGTGGTGGCAGAGTGAGGGGCAGACACAGTGAGGGGGGGAGTGACTAGTGATAGAGGGAGGAAGTGACTAGTGACTAGTGATAGAGGGAGGAAGTGACTAGTGACGGAGGTAGGGGAGGAAGTGACTAGTGACGGAGGTAGGGGAGGAAGTGACTAGTGACGGAGGTAGGGGAGGAAGTGACTAGTGACGGAGGTAGGGGAGGAAGTGACTAGTGACAGAGGGAGGGAAGGGAAGATTAGTGACAGAGGGAGGGTGTGACTCACTAGTCACCCCTTCCCTCCCTCTGTCACTAGTCACACCCTCCCTTTCCCCTCTGTCACTAGTCGTCCCTTTCCCCTCTGTCACTAGTCGTCCCTTTCCCCTCTGTCACTAGTCGTCCCTTTCCCCTCTGTCACTAGTCGTCCCTTTCCCCTCTGTCACTAGTCGTCCCTTTCCCCTCTGTCTCTAGTCGCCACCTCCCTCTCTCTCTAGTCGCCACCTCCCCCTCTCTGTCACTAGTCGCCACCTCCCCCTCTCTGTCACTAGTCGCCACCTCCCCCTCTCTGTCACTAGTCGCCACCTCCCCCTCTCTGTCTCTAGAGTGAGGGGGTGACTAGTGATAGGGGGAGGGAGGGGGTGACTAGTGATAGGGTGAGGAAAGGGGTGACAGTTAGTGAGGGGGTGACTAGTGACAGTGGGGAAGGGGTGACAGAGTGAGGGGGTGACTAGTGACAGACGGAGGGAGGGGGTGACACAGTGACGGAGGGTGGGGGTGACACAGAGGGAGGGGGGGGTGACTATATCCTACCCCTCTCTCTTCTCCCTCTGGTCTCCCAGGCTGCTGCTCCTTCCCCTCGCTGATCAGGCTCTGTGTGAGAGGAGAGTACAGGAAGTTTTGTCACTTCCTGGCCCCGCCTCTCCCATCACACAGCGCTGCGTGGGACAGGAAGCAGGAGACTTGGCAGAGAGGAGGTGAAGTTGCCAGGTCTCATTAAGTGGGAGGGAGGAGGGGGTTTTACTATGCTGAGCAGTAGGTTGCTGGGGCCCTGCGCTCCATCAAGGGCCTCAGCAACCTAAAAATGAAAGATTTTTTTTTAATTTTGCTGTTCGAGTTGGAGAGATCTCTGATCTCTCTAGCTGGAGCATGGCTGTGCGGCCGGGCCCCTGGTTGTCTTGGGCCCTCTGTCCATGACCGATATGCCCGAGTGGTCAGTCCGCCCCTGCCTGCTATGTATATTCACATTGGGTATATAAGGCCTGTGCCCACTGTGCCATGTACACCCATATTATCTGCTGTACCCCATGATGGCAACACAGTCAGGGCATTCTGTCACTTTTGTATCAATTTGAGTTAATTGTCTGTCGATATTCTGTATAATTAACAATGTTCTATTTTCGCAAAGTGCTCTGGATCAGTGAACTTTTTGTCTTTGAAGTGGTATGTTTATAATGTTCTATCTTGTTCTCCTGTTTTACACTCTAAAAGAAGATGTTGGTCCTTTACAAATAACAGATGGTCCCTGACATATGCATGAGAAGCATGTAATGTATAATTCTGAAATTCCGTGCTTTTTCTCGGTTTACCTTTGAACACCAATTGGGATTATCTTTGATTCCAATTCCTTTGTCTTTCTTATCTGTCAGGAGAATGGAAATTATAAATTAAAAAACATATATTTTGTTTATAGAATTTATTATCTCTAGTTAATCACTCATAATGACCTTTTGCTTAACTGATTAGCATGAACAGTTATTGCTGTTAAGTGGTACTATGCCTCATCAGTTTTAACATGATTTAATTGACAAATCACGAAATATATATAAAGCATGCATGGGGAAGATGTATGAGTTTTTCACTTAAATTGACTAATTATATTTAGTCTCCTTATCATTAATTGTTCATTTACTGAGGTAAATGATGGACTTTAAGATATAACCAGTCAAAGTACCCTGCTTAATATTTTTTTTTTTTTTTTACAACAACCAACCCATCACCACCTGTACTGACAGCACTCAAATAGACTTTTTTTTTTTTTTTTGTCTTCCTGAGCTTAATTAGTTTACATATACCCTCTCCATATTAACGGAATAGCTGGTCATGCCTTGAAACTCACTCTTCAAAAAAACACAAACTTTATAACACCATTGATGTTGTCCTCTCCTTCACGCCTCAAATTCCATCTTTGATTTCCATAAAAAACATCTTAGAAAACATCTTAAAAGTTGAAGATTACTATATGCATTTAGAATCAAGTTTTTGTTCATTATCCGCGGTACTGATTTCTGAATCCTATTCTGTCAGTCTTTGACCTACACAAATTGCAGATTTACAGTCCTTTTATTTTATAATTAGTTTTTCTAAATTAATTTAGAAAATTAATTTTTCTAAAAAAAAAAACTGTTAGTGAGCACTTCTCCTTTGCAGAGATAATCCATCCACCTCACAGGTGTGGCATATCAAAATGCTGATTAGACAACATGATTATTGCACGGGTGTGCCTTAGGCTGGCCACATTAAAAGGCCACTCTAAAATGTGCAGTTTTACTGTATTGTGGGGATCTGGGGAGGGGGTAGGGGTTATCTGAAAAATAGTCAGTATCTGGTGTGACCACCATTTGCCTCATGCAGTGCAACACCTCTCCTTTGCATAAAGTTCATCAGGTTGTTGATTGTGGCCTGTTGGTCCACTACTCTTCAATGGCTGTGCAAAGTTGCTGGAAATGGGAAGGACCTGGAACACACGGTCATATACGCCGATCCAGAGCATCCCAAATATGCTCAATGGGGAACATGTCCAGTGAGTATGCTGGCCATGCAAAAACTAGGATGTTTTCCACTTCCAGGATTTGTGTACAGATCCTTGCAACATTGGGCTGTGCATATCATACTGCAACATGAGGTGATGGTTGTGGATGAATGGCACAACAATGGGCCTCAGGATCTTGTTACGGTATCTATGTGCATTCAAAATGCCATTAATAAAATGCGCCTTTATTTGTTGTCCATAACATACACCTGCCCATACCACAACCCCACCACCGCCATGGGCCACTCGATCCACAACGTTGACATCAGCAAACCACTCACCCACATAATGCCATACACGCTGTTTTTTTTTATTTATATAAATTTTTATTTTTCATTTTAGAAATTTCATCCATATACATTTTCAGAAGTAAAATTTTTCAATATGGTACAGTATTTTCCTTTACAAGAATTTCTGTAATTATACATATAACTACTATAACCATATTTCAAATTGCACTTAAGCATTACTACATAGGCTACATTCGAACCGAAAATTAATAACACACAGTTCCACTTTCTTACAATCTTACAATTACACAGGTACTACCTAAGACTGGCTAGCTGTGGGAGGGGGGTTGAGTTTTTACTACTACAATATCTAACCCAGGGGGCCCAAATTTCATCATATTTCTCTCTAGATAGCTTATTTAAGAATAACCCAGCTTCCATCTTACATTGATAATCTATTTGTATGCGTATATCTTGCCAATTTAACGAACCCATATTTCTCCAATTTCTGGCCATAACTATTTTTATTGCCATAAAAGAATGGATCATAAGAATTTTTTGTTTTATATTAAGTTTTGGCAAATCTAAGTGAAACAGGAACATTTGTGCCGTAATAATAGTTTTAACCTTCAGAATGGAATCCACCAAGTCTGATATAATAATTTTCGTAGGTTTCAACTCCTCACAGTCCCACCAGATGTGGGGGAATGAACCTAACTCCCTACCACATCTCCAACAATCTGGTAGGAGTGTGGGTTGAAATTTATGGAGACGAGTGGGCACCAAATACCAACGGTATACTAATTTAAAGTACACTTCCTGTATATTCACCCCATGTATGTGTCTTTTTACTGATTGTAAAGCCAAATTCCAATCTTCAACCGAAGATGAGAAATGGAATTCCTGCTCCCATTTAATCATTGCCTATGCTTTAACTGTTTGCCTTTGGCATCTTGTAAATTGATTAAATTTAGATGCAATTTTATTTTTATAATGAGATGCTACAAACTGATCGAATGGAGAAGTGTCCGAAAAAACATTACCCATAATAAAGGATTTTATTCTTAAATAGTTAAATATTTCCTTCGAGGGGAGATTATAATTAAGCTGTAGCGTTGCAAAAGGCAATATTTTGTTATCATTTAAAAGTTCTGCAATTTTTACAATTCCACATTTTTCCCATTCTTGAAGATTTATATTCTTTATATAATATTTAAGACACATAAATGGGGCATTTCTTGATATATATTTAGTTCCGTATTTTTTCTTCAGATATTTTACGATATAGATCATTGTGTTATTCATCGGGTATTAGATCTTACATTATTTACAAATTCACTATCGCACCACCAAAGAAATAAAGGTTCAATATTGCACAGATCCGATTTTTCGATATCTAACCAAACTGGTCTTGTCTTTGTAAAGTTATCACATTTAATTAAGTGTGCTACCATGTTGTTCATATATAGTTTCTGTATATCTGGGAAAGAAATTCCCCCTTCTTTCCAATGTCTCTGTAAAATTTCCTTTGATACTCTAGGTCTCTTATCTTGCCATATATATTCCGAAACAAGTTTTTGAAGACCGTGTATCGTCTGGATTGGAACCCTCAGCGGGAGATTACAAAACAGAAATGTCAGTTTAGGGAGTAAATAAGAATTTATCGCTTCTATTCTTCCCAGCCAGGACAATTCCAATCCCTTCCAATTTTTTAGGGTATTCCTAAATTGGGTAACTATTTCTATATAATTAAGTTCACCAATTTCCCTATAATCCAAAGATAGTCTTACTCCTAAGTATTTTATGTTCCTTGCTTCCCAATCACATTTAAATTCATTTTTAAGTTTTTTTTACCCCAGACCCATTTAGACCTCTTATCAAGATTTGTGATTTATTTAAATTTGTTTTATAGCCTGAGAATTTACTATACTCATTAATAAGACAAAATACAGCTGGAATAGATCTAATGGGATCTGTAAGAGTTAGTAGAACATCGTCTGCATAAAGTGCAATTTTGTTCTCCAAACTATTTATTTTTAGCCCGCTGATATCTTCATTCTGCCTAATCGTGGCTGCCAACGGTTCTATAGAGAGGATGTATAACAGAGGTGCCAGAGGGCAGCCCTGGCGCGTCCCATTTCTAATTGGGAACCAATTTGATTGAAACATAAAACCTAAAACTCTGGCTTGAGGATCTTTATATAACGCCATTGTACACTCTTTGAAGAAACCCTCAATGCCGAAGGCCTTCAGAACCTCTTCCAAATATTTCCAGTTAACGCGGTCGAAGGCCTTTTCGGCATCAAGGG